ACACACACACACACACACACACACACACACACACACACTCACAATCAATCAATCAATCAAACTCCTTTTTCTTTATTTATTTTCAATTTTTGCATCTGCATTTTTTTTAAACCATGTATCTCATTATAAAAAATGACAAAAAAAAATTCCTGCTTTTCTTTATATATATATATATATTTTCTTTAAATCAAATTTAGTTTTTGATTTTTTAAAAATCCTAAACAAAGTCGGATTCCAAAAAAAAAAAATATGGGGTTGTAGGGCTTAAAATTCCCTACAACCTCATATATATATTTTTGGCTTATTATTTAATTCAGGAAAAATCTGGTAAAATCGGGTCCGCGGCGCGGACCCGGTAGGCCGCGGAGGTGGCCGTGTATACGTCCGCCCTCCGAGCTCGGCCCCGCGAACGCGTCCGCGGGTGTTTCATGGGCCTGTAGTTCCTTACATTGGCCTTATCTCCTTTCTTAAATAGTACCGAGCTTACTCCGAATGTCATCAGACTCCCCAACCTTTCCCCTTCCAGCACCTTATTGTACACCTCCACCAGGGCCGGACCCACCGCCGCCCAACACGAACGGTAAAATTCTACCGTCAAGCTGTCTCTGCCCGGACACTTGCCTGCCGCCATCACCATCAGCATATGTTGTAATTCCTCTAGAGAGACCGGTCTGTCCAGATTCAGGCAATCTGCCTGTGTAAGGGAGGCCTCCGTGTCTATCCACATATCCAGTTCCGCGGAAAGGTTTGCATCCACCTCTTCTCTTGGTCGCCTTGCTGTCAAGATATCCGAGTAGTGAAGTCTAGCGTAGTCCAAGATCTCTTCAGCAGAGCTAGCCAGAGGGGCCGTGGCGTCAAGGGGATGATTGAGTTGAACCACCTGATGGAAGGAGTAGCTTGGCAGTAATCTCTGAAATTATTCTTTGGTCATTTTGTCTTGTACTACAATCCCTTTCACTCTTAGGTTCTCCTCCCATCTGCATTGTTTTTCAACTTGCAGTTTCTCCCAATCTGCCATCCTCCTCTCTCTTTCTGCCGCCCACACCATCTCTAAGATGGGGTGCTGTTCAATCTTCCTTTCCGCTTCTTCCACCCTTCTACGACATTGTTCCTCCTCCTGATTCCTATCTTTGGCCAATATTCTAAAGCAAACGTTCAGCACTCCGGGGATTACTGTTGTGCCTCCGTCCAACCAATCTGCGGATGAGGTCCCTTGTGGACTGCCACGCCTCCATATGGTTGACCACCCAATTCTTGATTCCTGGGTCCTCTAGGTTTCTAGAGTTTAACTTGAAGTAGCCTCTTCCCCTTCCTTCTGCCTGCACCAGCACCACGTCTGCCAGAACTGGTTTGAGATCCGACATGGGGTGAGCCACCTGTCTGATGTGAGTGAATGCCTGTTGAAGCCCACTGCACACCAGGTAGTAGTCTAACCTTCTTCTTGTGACCTCCCCAATGTCTTTCCTGATGTTGGAAAACCAGGTATATCCGGCCTCCTCCGGATTCAGCGAACGGTATGGGTCTGCTAGCTCCAGCCCCTACATCAAGTCGAACAGCGCAACCGCATCTTTCCTCCCCGCTGTGCGTGAGTCTACCCTCATCGCCTCGTCAAGAGATACATTCCAGTCTCCAGCAATAACTAAGTTCTCTACACTCGGAATACTTAGCCTAATGTTGGACAGGAAGTCGACTCTGGATCCTGGGTCAGAGGGAGCATAAATTGTCATTACAGTCCATTCCAGGGAGCCCGTGCTCAACCGAACCCAAGCCCACCTTCCCCAGATATCCACTTCTAATCTAGGACCCTAGACCTCCCATTCTTATGAATTAAAATTCCCACACCCCCTCTAGTTCCCTGCGCTGGGGACCACACTGGCGGGCCATCCCACCAGTTTTGCATTTTAGCCAATTTCTCTTCCTCTAACTTTGACTCTTGGACACACATGCAGCTGTGTATACACCCGTACAAATACGGCCCGTCTGTACGGCCGTACGTCCGTACGTACGGACTTATGGCCCTCCGTACATCCTTTCGCGGGGGGTGTTGAGGGGGTGGATGGGCTGGGGGGGTGTCGGGTGTCAGGGGGTACATCCCAT